CCCCAAAACCCCAAAACCCCAAAACCCCAAAACCCCAATCAAGCAGACGAAAATAGTGCTGTCATAAGAATATTTTTATTAGTAAACTCAATATGAAGCCTTGTAATTCATCGAGCAAGATGGAACGTCAACCAGAGACTCCTAAGAGGAGAAGAAATGTGGAAAAGAATTCTCCACAGTCATCGAAGTCAAGTGCAGAGTCAACTGCAGCTATGTTCAGCGGGAAGAAGCGGGATAGGAGTTCCAGTACAATTACGCCAAAGAAGAAGTACATGAGTGTTGTGAATTGGGAGAATAGACAGTTTATGGCTGCCAGCGCTAGGTCTAGACTTGATTTTGACAATTGAGGGGCTGGTGAACAACCCAAGACTAAGAAAAAGTATTGGACAGAGGAGGAGGTAAAGATCTCTATTTCTAGTAATACGTTTATTATGATTTTTCGCAAATTTTGATAATTTTATTTCAGGAAATACAAAATCTAAAAAAGCTATGTCCAAAGTTAATAATCCGCCCTTTTTACTTTTTTTAACTAGTTTCACCGAAATTTTGTGGTCTCTGCCCGAATTCTTGCCTTAAAATTTTCCGAAAATCAGAAGCTAAGATCTTTTTAAATTTAACAACTAGGATATTAAATGGGAACAATAAATTGGCGAACTTACTCCATAATTAAGCACTTTTTGACTCCTAACTTAATCGTATGAATTTTCTACAAACTTTTCTCTGAATTGCAGCTCAAGAGAAGCTTGATAACCTCTCTCTTCAAGCTTTCTGGCCAAAACCTTAGAACATTCACTTTATTTTACAATTTTTAACTCAACAATGATGAGAGTCTCTAAGTGCTTAGATAGTTTTAATTATGAAATCAGCAAAGATATACAGTTCAAATGCTAAGCAAGTAATCTCAATCATGTTGCTATAATTGAGCTGAAGTAGTCTTTAGAGAAGCTAGCCAATTCTAGACTCATTCTGCTTTAAGAGAGAATGAAGCAGACTTATCTGATCTTTAGAATCTAGAATACAGGCTTAAGGGACAATAATAGCTAGTTAATTTAGTAAACCCATCAGTGGGAAAGCAGTATGCTTTATTGGAGTGTCGTGGTCTTTCTTGGGTCGGAAGTTGTAGCAATATGTCTTTTATCTAGGATAGTTAAATTCATTCACTAATATTTCTGATTTATTTATTCTTTAGGATCAAAAGTTGAGAGGACTTGTGGCTCAATTTGGAGCGAAAAATTGGAAAAGGATAGCCCAATGCTTTGGAAACCGTTCAGATGTGCAGTGCCTCCACAGATGGCAGAAAGTCCTCAACCCCGAACTCGTCAAAGGTCCCTGGACCAAACAAGAAGACGACACTGTCATCTCTCTTGTCAGGAAATATGGAGCCAAGAATTGGTCGTTCATTGCTTCCAAGTTGAATGGGAGGATTGGGAAGCAGTGCAGGGAAAGGTGGCACAACCACTTGAACCCTGACATTAAGAATGATAAGTGGACAGAAGAAGAGGATAGAATCATTCTTGAAGCTCAACAAAAATATGGAAATCGATGGGCTGAAATCTCAAAAATTCTGCCAGGAAGAACAGATAATGCAATAAAGAACCATTTCAATTCTACGCTGAAGAGAAAACTGATAAATCAGTTTAAAATGAGTGACTCCTCAATCACCAAAAGGGATTTAAAAGCTGACTTGAAGGTATGCCACCAAACTATTATGATTTTAGGAATATGCAGAAATGAGAGAAGAACACAACACAGATATGATCCTGATAAAGACCTATCCAGAAGGCGGCAATAGTCATAAACAGCCTAATAACCTGAATGTAAACGCGATCTGCATCAAAGTTGTAGGAGATGAGACCAGAGACCTTCAAGTAAGTCAGTATTCTAAATGACATTAAATAGTTCAGAGAAACTTTTGAAAAATCAGAATACACTCCTAAAGAGGAGTCAAAATATCCATTAGAAGATGTCTGTGAGACAAGGCCTTGAATGGTGTTGCATAATCCTTCTTATGAGAAGCTTTCCAGTTTTAACTCAAACACGCATAAAGGAGTCGACTTATTTAGCTCAGTGTCCCTCTTTACAGAGATTTCATCACTTCACGGAAACCAAAAATATTCTGGGAAGAAGCCAGGCTCTGAAATTTTGAAGGATTCACCTTCGAAACAAAAAGTTGATTACAAGGTATGCCATTCTTTAATGTCTGCTCTATGGAAACAATCTCCAAAGAAGGAAACTGAGAAACTGTACAAAAAGCATAACCTGGAGAGACCTTCTGAGGATCAAGAAGAGGGTGGGCTTGAGCTAGTCCTTTCGCATATGCCTTAATTAGATTTTCATTCATCAAATTCTCTCATATTGGAACGAATTTATCTGTTATATTTCAATTAGAAAATATTAAAAAGGGGTTTTGGGGTTTTGGGGTTTTGGGGTTTTGGGGTTTTGGGG